ACCATGAACCCGCGCAAGACAGGTGTTCTACAGAAGACCCAGGTGCTGCTGCCAGGTAAGGGGCCACACCCTCCATTTTGACTTATTCAGAAGAGCATCCCGTCAGCTAGCTGGGCATGGGTGGTGCCTGTAGTCCCAGCTACTTAGGAGGCCGAGGCCAAACAATTGCGTGAGTCCAGGAGTTTGAGTCCAGCCTGGGCACATAGCAAGACCCTGACTCTAAGAAAAAACAAACAAGAACATCCCAGTGTCATGTTCTGGCTTCTTAATGAGCAGGCTCATCGTGTGATCAGAATTTTCTCATGGCTACCCAGCTAAAGCCTTCCCAGGTGGTATTAATCGAGTAGTGACCACCAGACTTGCATGGCTCCTAGGGTGAGCACTCTGGTCCTCGAGCTCCTTCCATGTCACTGGCTCAGAGGCTGTGGTAGCAGGAAGAGCAAACCCATGGGTCATGCCACGGGTGAACATGGAGACCACACTAGCAGCATCATGTCACAAGTAGGATGCCCTGCGAAAAGATATGGTATCCTGTTAGATAACTCTTGGCCAAAAGACCTTCGGGTATACAACTTAGTTTTTTTTTGTTGTTTTTTGTTTTTTTTGAGTTGGAGTCTCACTCCGTCGCCCAGACTGGAGTGCAGTGGCCACTCCCGGCCACCGCAGCCTCGACCTGCTGGGCTCCGGTGATCCTTCCGCCTCAGCCTTCCACGTAGCTGGAACTATAGGCACGTGCCACCATACCCAGTTAATTTTTTGAGTTTTTGTAGAGATGAGGTCTCGCCAAGTTGCCCAGGCGGGTCACAAAACAACTTAGTTTTAGGAGGGACACCTGTGTCATAAGACAGGAGTGGCAAGTCTGGGTCAGACCCTGGCTGAGGGCCATGCTGGGCGACAGATGTCCTCCTCCCAGCCCCTCCTGTAGTGGAGAAGGTGAGGCTCAGGGGGGTCTGCCCACGGACTCAGCTACACACTCTTCCCTAGTCATGGCTGTCCACTGTCTCCATCTCAAGGGTGGATTTGGAAGCTGACTTCCTCCCTCTTCTGCTCTGCCCCTTCCTAGCTGGTGCCCACACGTGCACCCTCATCTGCAGCCAGTTCTGCCACTTCTCACCTCTCTCGGCAGCCCGGCCTCCTCTGGGCCAAGCGACACTGTCCACTGTGCTGGCCCCACCAGGCTCCGCCCTGACTCCTGTTGTCCCGGGCACTCAGTGTCTGATTCCTCCCTGCCACTCCCACTGTCCCCATGGGTTTGCGTCCAGTTCACGTGTGGGTGTCCCTACTCATATGGCCCCCTTGCCTCCTCTGCAGGTAAAGGCTCAGCAGTGGCCACAGCAGCCGCCTCGGGGCCCAGGGCTGGGAGCAAGATCCCCACCCCACGGGCGGGCCTGAGCAAGAGCTCCGGCAGGACATACACAAAGCGGTGACACGGGCAGCAGCTGCTCCAGCTCCAGAGGGGACCACGCCATCTCCCGCTTCCAAGCACTTCTCCCTGGGACTCTCCTTGGCGACCCCGGGCTCCGGCCTGCTGTCCCCGCTCCCAGCCACACGTGGCCTCTCAGGTGTCTGCGCCCTGTCGCCGCTTGTGCAGATGACAGCGGAACTGACCAAAGAAGCCGTGCCAGAGCCGAGACCCCAGCACACCCCAGGTTGAGCGCTCGGGTTCTAACCTGCAGACTTCATTTGGCCCAAGAGTTAGCATCTGTGGAGGCCGGGAGGCGCTGCCCACAGGCTGGCACAGGCGGGTGTCCGCCTATCTTGAGTGCTGAGAGGAGTTCTGTGAAGATTCACGCCAGCCTTTTGCATGCTGGCCTTTTCCGACGTGGTACGGTGCTCCCGGAGTGACAGCATGCACGGGCCTCCAGCTGTGCCTTCTCCCAAGGCCTATCTGCTTGGTTTTCTGCCTGGTGCACTCAGTCACCATAGCAGGATCTCGGGATCTCAGAACTCACACTTCCACTCTAACAAGAAATAAAGGTAAAAGAAAATCTGAAGAAAACATTAGTTCCTAGGACTGGTCCCACCCCTGCATGCACCTTGCTAGATGCTTCTTATATCAGCTGTCTCTGCTCGAGGCTTCCCCCACGCAACCCCCATAGGTACTAAGGGTGACACAGGAGTGGCCCATGTCACACCTTTGCTCAGGGTGCTTCATAGTTGCCACCCTTGCAAATTCCTTAAAAAAGTAATCTTAAGTGGCTCTCTACCCGGTCCCCAGTGTCTCCCAGCTGCCGCCATGTGTTAGTCACAACTCCCCTTTCTTTTTTCTGTTTTCTGTTTTCTTTTTTTTATTGACTCGGAGTCTCAATCTGTCACCCAGGCCTGAGTGCCATGGCACATGCACGGCCACTCCAACATCAACCAGCTGGTCTCCGGCGATCCTCCTGCCTCAGCCTTCCAAGTAGCTGGAACTACAGGCATGCGTCACCATGTTCAGCTAACTTTTTTTTTTTTAATTGATTGTAGAGATGAGGTCTCGCCAAGTTGCCTGGGCTGGTCTTGAACCCAAGGGCTCAGGTAATCCACTCACCTCGGCCTCCCAAAGTGCTGGGATTACAGGCTGAGCCACTGAGCCCGGCCACAACTCCCCTTTCTTGAAAGCTGGTTTTGATCCTGGCATGGAGTAACTTCTGCACCTGTTGTACACAAAGTTGTCCTCAGCAGGCTCGGAGCCTTTCTGGCTTGGGTCTGTCATCCTGTCCCTGTGAAATCCATGTAGTAGTTGGAACCATAAGTTTTATTTTTCAAACAGTTCACAGGATGCTTAAAACACCAAAACATCACCTAAAATGCTGAAACCAAACCTCCAAAAGCAAGCCCCTGGCCGGCCGGCCTATCCTGGGACGGGGGGGCTGGGGCAGACTTTCATTGTGCTGGTTAGAAAGACTGAGGGAAGCTCAGGTTATGCAATTAGGGTATAAATATTTTTAAATCCCAAAAACAGAAAATAACCAAATACAACTAATAGCTATTGGAGCAGTGTGTTCCCTGGATATGGTAGGAACGAGGAATTGGCGTTAGTTAATCTCTGTTTTTGCTGAACTAATGCCTTCTCTTATGGTTGGCTCAAAATACTGAGTAAAAATAGGACCTAGCAATAAGATACCCTTTAAGAATATCCTCTACTAAAAGCCTAGAGAGTGTCAGGGAGAAGTATCCTAGACCTTGACAGAGCCAAGGACACGTGCCAAGATGTTTGTGAAGTGAGCCTTTCTGGTTTCAAAGAGAAGTTGGACAGTGCTTTCTAAGCTTTTTTTTTACAGATAAAACACTTATTTAAACAGAACGATAATGAGAAGAGTTAACCAAGGAATTACTATTTTCTCTCCAATCAAAACTTCTAAGAAATACATATATAATGCTTTCTAGATATTGTAAGTTAAAGAGGATATTTGTAAAAAAAAACTTCATTGACAAACAGACTTGGGCTCACAACAGGTTATCTTGCCGTTTCTGGAAGCATCATGTGTTTGTGGTGAAATGAGCTGCACTCTGTTCAGGGACCGAGAATAAAGGATGCAAACTAAAAAGGAATCTTAAGAGCTCCTGGCCACTCACAAATAGATATCTAAATGTGGACACTAAGTAATAATTGAATTTTCACTCATCAATGTATGTGGATATTTAATATTTATTTCTTTTATTTTCCTATTTTAAGATCTTCTATTAAATAATCTAATTTAAAAGAACTGTATCTATAAATCTGGCATTCGAATACAAATGTAAATGCTTTTAATGAAAATTTGCAGCTTTTTAATATTTTGACATAGTTTTCTATTTGTCTTTATATCAGGTACCAGAATTATAAAATATTTAAGTAATATATTTTTGTTGTTTTAAGAATTAAGGGTTAATTCACCCTGAGTATATTAATAAAAAGATCACTAAATGTTTTGTCACTTTATTTCAAGATTCTAATTAAAAACCAATTTGTAAATTCCATTTACTTGAATAAGCATGCCCCAGTAACTTGACCCTGAGTGCTTAGAAAGCAGATGAAGCCAGGCACAGTGGCTCACACCTGTAACCCCAAGCACTTTGGGAGGCTGAGGTGAGAGGATTGCGTGAGTCCAAGGGTTCGAGACCAGCCTGGACAACTTGACAAGATGGCAAGACCTTGACTCCAACAAATCAAAAAATTAGCCGGGTGTGGTGATGCACACCTGTGGTTCCAGCTACCTGGAAGGCTGAAGCGGAAGAATCACCTGAGCCCAGCAGGTTAAGGCTGCAGTGGCCGTGAGCATGCCACCACACTCCAGCCTGGGTGACAGAGCGAGGCTCAGATTCAGAGAAAAAAAGCAGATGGAAAACTGTTGAGGAAAGAGGCAGTAAATACTAAGTTGCCTCGAAAGAGTTTGGTCTCTAAAGCAGGTTATCCTCCCAAAGGCGCTCACTGCTGAGGAAGCTACAGGATTTTAGCTGTGAGCAGAGAACGTTGTTGGCCAGCCTCGCCCCGTGGAGCGGGTCCAGCGCGTTCTGTCGTTCCCCAACTGCCCAACAGAGGGCTGCGCCTGAGCCGCCTCGTGTTTCCCCCTTGATACCTTAGAAAAGGGGAGTTTTCCTTTTCAAATAAATCAAACTCCGCATAATCGCTGTAGGCTTGTAAAGCGGTTTAAGCTTCTATCAGCTTTGACAATGACTTTATAATTATTTACCTTTGAAGTTATAATATCCAGTTTTTTTCCTTTACATAAATCCTTATTAAAACTTAAGGCATTAACATTTAAACAGCAAATATTACTTTAAAATGTGTCTCTCCCGGCCAGGTGCGGTGGCTCATGCCTATAATCCCAGCACTTTGGGAGGCCGAGGTGAGAGGATTCCCTGAGCCCACGGATTCGAGACCAGCCCAGGCGACTTGGCGAGACCTCATCTCTACAGTAAATCAAAAAATTAGCTGGGCATGGTGGCGCGTGCCTGTAGTTCCAGCTACTTAAGGCTGAGGCGGAAGGATTGCCTGAGCCCAGCAGGTAGAGGCTGCGGTGGCCGGGAGCGTGCTATTGCCCTCCAGCCTGGGTGACAGAGTGAGACTCCAACTCAAAAATAAATAAAACGTGTATCAACCTTTGGTAGATGGGGGGGGGGTGTATATGTGAGAGAGGATGCAGACAGGTGGGGGGTGTGTATCTGTTGGGGGGGCTTTCCTAAGAACAAAACTGTGCCTGCAACTGCCATCAGCTTGCCGGGTTGGCAAAAAAATTACATATATATACTATGTATACACACACACACACACACACACACCCCTCGCGCCACCAAGAAAAGATTTCAGTGTGCTGCTGTGAACTATGTGAACTAGGTTTCCAAGTATACTATTTGCTTTTTTTTTTTTTTTCTTTTTTTTGAGTTGGAGTCTCACTCTGTCGCCCAGACTGGAGT